TGTTACCATTCGCTTCAGATATTATTCGATTTCATTTTGTTTCAGCAAATAATCGCAGATGTTAATTCGGTCCATTAATTTCTTCACAGACAACTGATGTGGTACTCAAACGTCGAAGTTCTTTTTGTAGCCAACCTTTTTAAGGGGCTATAACAGTGTGACGCATGAAAAATTCGGCAATTTTCGTGATTTTTTTAAGAGAAAGTACGCTATTGAGTATTTCAAACTTCTTTGAATGTAATAAGGTATATTTTGAGTTATATTTTAGGTTTTTTTTTTACAAAAGTTTTGAAAAATAACGGAGTTGTTTTTTAAAGTAAAAAATGGTAATTTTTTAACGCCAAATTTACAATTTTCAACCAATCAAAAAGATCGTATATCATTGTATAGTAAATATATTCAGAAACACTCAGTTTTAAGTTGAAGTTGATCGGCTAATTTCTCCTTGCGTTATGACGCCAGCAGTTTTGAGAAATGTCGTTTCGAGAAAAACGCGTTTAAAGTTTCATTTATATATGCTCTTTAGAACGCTGCTTTTTTTTTTTTTTTTTTTTTTTTTTTTTTTTTTTTTTTTTTTTTTTTTTTTTTTTTTTTTTTGTTTTTTTTACACTGGTATAGCCCCTTAACTGGGTCAAAACTGTTTGATGATGAATCTTTAGTTATGTGCCGGTTCTGGTNTTTAAAGTTTCATTTATATATGCTCTTTAGAACGCTCCCGATTATTTTTTTTTTTTTAATCTTTTTTATTATTTTTTTTTTTTTTTTTTTTTTTTTTTTTTGAAAGTTTCACACTGGTATAGCCCCTTAACTGGGTCAAAACTGTTTGATGATGAATCTTTAGTTATGTGCCGGTTCTGGTCAATTTTTAACATAGTTTAATCCATTATTGTACGAACTGATACAGCATTGTCTCCATAAACTTCACAAATTTCATTGATGGCTTACGTGGCATTATTCTCTTTTTTATACAAAAATACTTGTATAGAATTTTTTATTTTTACTCTGTTTTGAACAGCTGTAACTTTTTTTTAACTTCCCCGAATTAAATTTTTTTTTTTTTTTTTTTTTTTTTTTTTGTGGTTAAATAAAGCTTAAAATCTCCCCTCTCAACAATGGCGATATACGACTGCAACCACATCTATTGGCAAAATACGAAAAGGCCGAACTTGGTTCCAATTTATTCGAGGACTGCAATGCGCCGTTCCCATACAACTATTCACAGTACATTTCAGTCCTTTAATTATGGCCCAGCAGTTCCACTAGTTTGTGGATATCTATCACATATCGTAATTAAATGATCATATATTCGGCTTAGTGACGTTGAAGGAGTCAACTATCTGTGTAAAGAACAAACTGTAAGTACCCAGACAAGGTGGAGCTCTTCTGCGATACATTTGCAAGCGCTAAGAACGTGGCATCCAAAGGCCTATAACTTCATATCCAGACGCCTGAGCAGAAGAGGTGTAAAGCAAAGGAAATGGAGCAGCAATTCACATACACTTAGCTATTTGACAGAAGGCTCAGTGACAAATAAAACTACAAATCGCTTGAAAAGCTCAAGACTGAATAGAAACAGGCAACGTATGAACTAAGGAGTAAAGAAGAGAAGAGTTACACATGTAAAGGCATACTTGCACGCGCATATATGTGTGTGACACAGGGCACGAGGCCTTAATCCCCCAGCTTTTGAAATAATGCAGACAACTGCAGACAACGTGTCCTTGCCATTCCGTACGAATTCCGTTTCGTTTTTTGGCTTKCTGAAGGCTGTAGGCAGCTTCGTATCCTTGCTGCTGTACTTTTCCCACACACATATTCTCGAAAGCGTTGGAATGTGTGTGGCTGGCAATAGAGCCATTGCCTAGTTGTTGTTGCCCATTTTCTAAGACAGCGTGCGTGTGTACAAGCAAGTGTACCCGTCCTGGAGGGAAGTAACGACCTAAGGAATATATTAGTTTGCAAAAAGAGTCCAGTCCAAATTCCAGCCAAACGAAAAATCATCAGACTCATACCAAGCCTGGAATGATTTTCCAGTTTGTTGCTTTGAATTTATTTTGAACATAAGATCAATAAAGAAGATTTTCGTATGTACTTATAATTTTTTTCTGGGTTATTAATTAAAAACAGTTATTTTCTTGCTTAATTAACCAGCTTTGTTTAACTAGAGTGGACCTAATGTCTGAGAATTGTCATCCCGTAAGGCGCTAATGTCTGAAATACACCAGTATATTGTAAGTAAAGGAAAGGCAGTGGGTCATGCGTTTGATACTAGTTTGGAAGTAGTTTTAGCCAGTTGCCTTGGCTGTGGGGCGCTTATGCTCCGATTGCCTTCGAGATTGTTTGGAAGCAAGAGAACAAGCGCGCTGCTGTTATTTCATTTATAGTCAACTTGGCGGTTGTTCGCACTGTTTCCCTTCATTATCGCTTGTTTTCACCATTTTTGGTTTTATCTGTGTGTGTTTTTGTTGCGAAAATATCCGTCTGCAATTAAAGTCACATCATGTCGCATGTCCGGGTGTTTGACGTCACTCCTGGAAATATGTGTTGAAATTAAATGCACTTTTTGTGGAACCCGCTTTTTTGTTGTTGAGCCTCGTCTACATACAGGCACCGCTGCACACGGATTTACATAAGCTAAAGGTTTTATACCTTCCACGCGCGGTGAATTCAAGTTAGAGTAATGTTGCATTTTGAAGAAAAATATATAATGTGAAAAATTGCATGCATATTAGTTATAAAAAGTATTCACACTGGTCTGTTAGGCAAAAGGTACGTCTTAAGTGAATTACATACCGCAGGTACGATCTGGCAATGATAAACTTTATCATAGCAATAGTTTCATTTCTTACTTATTTTGGAAATATTAGACTAAAGCATCTTTTCTTAGTAGTATTTGATGAAGAATTGAAAGTATTTGAAAACCCGAATAAACATCAACTACCATCGAATACCACGGGTGTAGGCTGATAAAAGTGGCGAGAAAAGCAGCTCTGCGTACCATGACTTGGTGGGTATAAACATAAATCAGCAAAACTGGTATGATGTTGCCACTTTTTTAAATTATAACTTAGGAAAAGCGTTGTTAATGTTGTGATGCTTTGAGCCCAATCCCATCCAATTATGCAGAATGAGCTTTAAATGAAGAGGGCAAAAGAGGAGCTCTGGGAACAAACTTTGGAAAAGCAGCTTAGAAGTCATTGAGAACTCTTTATCCTTCATTCATCTGCTCATAATTTAGATGAGTGAAAACAAATTGCTTACATTTAAGATTTAGAGAAATCAGTATTTTCTACGCAGGTTTTCAAAACTATTTGAAGTATAAATCACTTTAGGTAAATTTAAACATCTTTTTTTGAATGTTCTTTTCTCCCCAAGAATGGTAACAAAATGAACAAAGAAACTATTCAGATCGGAGCACTATAGCATATGGCAGTTATACAAACCGAGCGATCAAAATCCAAATACGTTCTTTCACTCCGGCTCAGCTCAGCAGCCGCTTAAGACAGAACACCTCAGTAGTGCGCTACGATTTTTACAATAGATAAAAATATATAACAAAGAATTTGTCTCATATTTTTTATTTCTAAACAAATTTCGTGAGCGGAATGGTTGCGATTATAGAAAAATGCTTAATGTGTTGCAGTTCTATCAAAAATACAAGCGTTCGAGTGGTACAAAACTTTCAAAGGCGGTTTAGAGATCGATAAAAACATGTCTCGTTCTGGACGATCTATTCAACTGATGACAATATCAGATATGGTGCTTGAAAATTGTCAAACAAGTGTTAGAGAGATGGTAGGAGATGTCGAAATCTCTTGCGAGCACTTTCGAATGATTTTATGGATATTTTGGGTATGAAACACGTTCTTTCTCGACTCATCCCCATAAAGCTGATTTTTTTTCAAAAAGAGCGCTATAAGTTGGACACGCTTGGTCATTCGAATTATGATCCCACATTCATAGAGAGCATTACAACTGCCGACTTTTTTACAATGTATTTCTTAATATATCTCGAAAAACGAAGAAATTTTTGCCTTTAAATGACATGTGAATAACTGAAGGGAGCTTACCTAAGTGCTGAAGCCCAATTATTAGATTTATTCTAAACTTCTTGAATGGATTGGCAACACTGACGCCGTAAAAGCAGCGCCACAACTGCGTCAGCTCATTTCCCAGCGACGGGCAYATGTAGATTGTTCGAGCCGGAATTGTTGCTTTTTAATGTGTTCCSCAGGTCCCTTTGAGATGCTCAAAAGCGTGAGCATACATTACCCGGAAGGGTTGTCAACCCACTCTAATGCACATACACACACGTTACGCCGATGTGTGTGCGTAAGGCGCTTAAACTCTTACGTTCACGTAATGCGTGTTCCCTGCGCACATATGGACAAACGTGTACTTGCGTCCACAGCTCGTTCAATTGTCGCTTACGAGTTGTAATACGGTTGTACAATTTGTCAATGRAGACTCCCGCACTCACTGGCAAATGTAAACGTACCAGCTCTCTGAGGTGCAGACTGCAAGCAATTCCGTTTCTGTTTGTCGTATGAATATATTTGGGCATTTCTCCAAAAAATKTATACACATATTTGTGTGAATATATGTACTGTGTATGTATGTATGTATATACACATGCATGTGTTCCTTCGCCCACTCGCTTTCACTTGCTTCGTCCTTTTATTTCCGTATCTCTGGCTTGATTCCTTTCAGCTTGTCTCCTTGTGGCCTTAAATGTCCGCTCTGACTTTGAGTGATGTTTTAAATTATTCGCTTTGAGATAGTCTGCGGCAGTCGCAGTTGTGAGGCGTTGAGTCAAGCACTTCTTTAACACCATTAAAATTTAATATTCTAATAAAAGTAGCATATGCAAGCTTACGTTTTTGCGACAGATCCATTTGTTGTTGTACCAATTTGCGGACAAGTAGGGGACAACCTGTCAGGATTTCTGGATTTGTGGCTTGTATGTTTCTAAATATTTTATGTCTTTCTTATCGTTGCAGGCTATTTTTGGCACATCACAGATCTTCATTTGGACACATTTTACTCGACGCAAGGCGACGTTATGCACAGTAAGTAAAAGACATGCAAGCATATTTAAATGTACAAGTTCATGTTTGCCAAATGCGATATGAACAATATTAAATTAATAATAGATTTAGTCTATTCTATTGTTTATTTTATTTAAATTTTCCTTTTTTATTTTGCTTAAAGTGTCTTCCGTGTTCTTTTAGGTATACGAGAAGGAATAACTTGATATTGGTCCGGTTGAGAATTTTTTATTTTGAAAATTCAAATGAATTTTCTTCAGCGATCATCAAATGAAAAAAATGAAAAAGGAAAGCCACTGGGTCATATCCGCAGAAACAAGAAAATAAGGCAAGAATTATAAGAACCAGTAATAGAGCTTTCTGCCGCTTCGAACGAGGTCACTCCCGCGCTACATAATAAACTAATCGAAATCGTTTATTCGTTTATTATAAAGTTTAGACTTTACCAGTCGAGAGAGGATTTTACTTCTCAATTTCCTACTCAGTTCGACGTAGCACCTGTTAACAAGGTTCCAAGATAGACAAAGACAAGGACTGTAAGTCGATGCAATAAAAATGCAGACCGGAGCAAAGAGAAGAATATGATTCAATTCTTCAATATTCTCAACACATTTCCATATGTGTACTGTTAGGCACACACCCCTTTAAGACAAAGTTACCTCCGTTTATGATTAGCTTACGTCCTACCTGCGAAATTGTTAGCTGATGGAATCTTTAAAAATTGTCGGAAGTGAAGGGTAAAATGAGTTCCATGAAAGAAACGGAGCACAAACATATACAATAAACGTACCGACATACATTTATATATTTTACTCAATGCATTTGCCTCGATTATCACGAAAAAAACATTCCTGAAATTTTTATGTTGTTTTTAATATGTAATGCTCCGTTGAACTTGCCATTTAAACTTCACTCAAAGTCAAGCCATCTACTTAACTGGCCATTTCCGCAAATGCAGACACCTTTCGCTTTCATTTCATTTCGGCACCGAAGTGTCCTGCAGATTTCTGGCATTCGTTTGCGGCAAATTGTTATTGTTTCAATCAAATTAAAATTTTATTTCTATTGCGAATTCCACACAGCACTTTGCTCTTTTCATTTCCTCTTTTCTCTTTGGTTTCATTTTCCGTCTTGTTCGCTTCACTCGGCCCCGACTTCATTTATTTGTATTACGTATAGTCTTTATTGCGAATATTTGTTATTGTTGACTTCCATTTATTTCGGCCATTTGGCTGTGGCCCGGTATTCTACGTGCCGATTTAAAGTGGACTTTTCGGGTGGTGAAAGGAGCAGGGAAGACCGGCCCGGAAGCGTATGCGGGGCCACGGTTAGCCCAAGAAAACTGTGCTGGCTATTAGGACAATGAATGGGCGGTCGTATAGCCCTCGGCTACGTCAGCAAAAAAGTGTCTGTTGTTCGTGCCTGCAACTTCCCAATTTCATTTTGTGGTTGAAGCAAAAATTTTCTATGCTTTTTAGTGCTTTTAATTTTATTAAATCTACTTTTTTAATCTGATTGAGGAAATGCCACAGCATTGTCGGGTTTTTTACCTCACCTGACCAGCTTACGCGAAGACTTCGTTAGTTTCAGTTTCAGTTCTTTTGCGTTTACAATGTCAACTAAAGCGCATTGTTTGTTTTTCTCTTGTGCAGCGATTTTCGTAGTATTCTAAAACGGTATTTTCTACTTACGCTTTTTCAGGTTGCTGGCGTATCGACGGTCAATCGCCAAGCAGTTCCATTCGCTCACCTGGTCGTTTTGGCGATTATTTCTGCGATAGTCCTTGGAGCCTAATTGAGTCGGCAGCGAAAGCGATGAAGACTCGACAGGGCGACAATGTCGAGTTCGTTCTGTGGACAGGGTAAGTAGTGAGCTGGGAAAAGTGTGGGTAGCTAAGCTTTAAGATACAAAAAGTTTATTGTGTTTACTCAAGTATTTATTATAATAGATATTTGTTTGTGTTGTCAGAAGCTCTTTAAGGAACTTGTGTAAAATGTAATTTGCTTATTGCTTCTTCCACTTTAAGGCTTTGCGCGCAGAACTTTTAATCGAGTTCTCGAATGAGAGAAGCGAAACTAGTTTAGTATCGTGTCAGATGTGATAATGGAGAGACATACAGGTCTTGGTGCGGTGGAGTGTAGATTTTATAGCAAAAAAGAATGGCTGCATTAAATTTTTTTCCAAGTATCCAAAATATTATTTTTGAAGTAGAAGTTTGATCTTAACCTAGTGGGTGCAAAGCACAAATCCGCTTTTATTGGAAGCCAAGTTAGGGAATCAAGTAAGTTCGAGTGAAACTAATGCATCAATGTAATAAAACCGATATATGGGTTATCCACCTGAAACACGATCTGAAAAGAGACAGAACTTTTCAGAGTGAATAAGATGCGTACGTAGATCACTTACCACTATGGGCTCGATTATTGCTTGATGCGCCACAGTACAAAGACCTTTTGATCCCAGTAAACGCTTCCTGTTGGATTCTTAGTATGCTTTTCTTGGTTTTACGATAAAGCTTGACATTCACAGATAAAGTGAAAAATAGTTTCCATAATCCCTTGCAGCAAATCCATATTTCATGCATACTTTCTTAAAGGCCTGTGCCTCGTTGTCTCGTTTATCTTATGATCTAGGGGTTAGAGGTAGTCAGAGGCACGACGAAATTCCATAATTTTTTTTTGCTATTAATTCGTGTTATTTTACAAAAGTAGTAACATGGCATTATTATAGAATGCGCTGACTTGAAATCACGAAAATTTCCAAAAAAAAAAAAAAACAATTCACTTCCAACGTTAACGTTGTTTGTGTTGACCCCGTTCCAAAAAAAAAAGGTACTTGCCGTGACAACCATAAGTCCTTGGAGATTTTTGTGACTATGGGAAAAAATCAACAGTTAATTGGTCTTAAAAATCGAAATTTTTGAAATAAATTTATAAATGTATAAATTTTATTAAAATCTACTGAGCGGTTTTCGAGTTACAGTTGTCACCAGTAAAAAAAAACATAGTCTTGAGAAAAACGCATTTGTTATTTGTCGAATAACTCAAAAACTAATTATCGGATCAACGTGAAGTTTTCAGAGAATATTTTCAAGGTATTACACTTAACGAAAATGCAAAAAAAGTTATAATTTTTTTTAATTCTGACTACCTCTAACCCCTTAATAAGTTCTTGATTCCTAGTTTGCCACACTTGGGCCATATCTTTTTCGTTGTCTTGCAGCTTGTTATAGATTTCCATCTGTGCTGAGCTATTTGTTCAAAATGACCCTGCGGGTATGGAATTAACTCCGTTTCGTTACATAATAAAACCTGCATTGGCTCGTATTGATATCGGAAGTAACAAACTTTCTACTCACGATTTTAAGATTTCACCAAAATAAATGAAATATCTAACGGAACAGGTACTTTAGTGCCATCCACAATATCTCGTAATATGCCATGCCTGGCTCAAAGAAAAATGGAGCTTACAGGTGTTTACTCTTCGTTACAAAATGCAGCATATTCTCCTTTGCGGAGCTAAGCCTCACAAAAAGAAAGTCAAAACAATACCTTCTTTTTTGAAGGTCAACATATTCGAATATACAGAAGAAGCCAACAAAAAGCGAGAAAATCATTTATTAAGGAAGCACAGCCAACACATTCATTGTTGTTGGTTAGAAAGGATTATAACATAATTTATACTTGAGGGGAAATCATATCTAATTAAAACGCTCCCAAGTGATACATTAAAACAAACTTTCTCACACACACTTTTTATTTCAAGCAAGTTTTTTTTTTTTTTTTTCAACATTAAATCGCGGCAGACGATATCAGCAAAACCAAGAAGCTAGTCATAGGCGGCGAATTCTCGCCCGAGCGGCACAGGATAAGTCACAGTTAAAAAATTGTGTGCGACGGTAGGAAGAAGGACATAAAACATGCCAGAGCGCAAAAATAATTAAGATAACAAGAGTTTTATGATTCATAAAAAGCACGTTTCACTCTTTGCTAACGACCACCGACAAGGTGGCCAACCTGGCAGTAGCACGCCGGAGAGGACCCTTTGCTCAGGTGACTCATAAAAATTATTGCAGTGTCCAGTAGAGCGTGTCCACTGCTCTGCAGCGAAAGCATTCAGTTTTAATTCACTTGCGGTGGTAGGAACCTGCACAGCTGCTATCTCCTGCAGGCTCCAGCTGTTTTACTTTTTGTTGTAGTACAATAACTAACGAATACCAAATGTAAATAAATTAAGGTTTCTAATTTTTTGTATGTACAATATATTTACATTGTGTTTTTCCAGTGTTCGGCATTTTATCTGAATTTTAAAATAGAGATTAAACTTCCGAACTTCATACTTCCAGGGATCTTGATGTTAATGGGTAAAGGGGTAAGCATGAGCCGTCTCAAACATTGTTAATTACAGGATCTGTCTGGGAAGTAATAGGAATGAGTCGATTAAAAAAATTGTAATGAACCAATCAGAATAGCCTTGAAAGCCGAGGTACATGCGGCTTGAATCTCCTCTGTCGTCTCAAAATGCTTGCCTTTCGTTCCTTTCAAGCATCTAAACAAAAAAGGATTGCTGCAGAAGCGTTGGGATGCCAGTCTTGCTTAGGTAGCTGTTCACAAGAAAGACAGTGTGAGCCAGGGCGTTGTCGTGATGCAATTTCCAATCAGCTGCGATGTCTTGTCGGACCCAATTGACCCTTCGTTTGAGTCTCTTGAGGATTTCCACGTAAAACTTCTTGGTGAAAGATGCCTTTGATGTCAAAAGAGATAATGAGCATCGTTTTTACTTCTGGGCGAGGAGACGCCGGCCCTTCAAAAAGGTCTGGTGCCACCGAAGCACACCATTTCTTGCTAAAGCAGCATCTGGGTAAGCTTGTTTGATCATATCAATCGTCTCGGTCGCAGATTTACCTAGTTTCACACAGAATATAATCGCTTACCTATGATCTAACGAACGCTCCAACACATCGCGCGAAAATGTTTGTCCTGACGCTCCAGGTGCTCTAAGATAACCGATCAGGGAATAAAGTCGGTGCGCAGACGTTCCGAAGTGCAGTTCAGTCGGAAGAAAATCTGTCCTATTACTTTCCGGACAAACCCTATATATCTTCCATTTTATGAGAAGTCAAACTATTTATAAAACAACAATTAACTTCTTTTGAAGAGTGTCGAACAAATGGCTTCCTTATTCTCAATTGGTCTGCAAGTCATTCTAATTTCAGTCAAAGGAAACTGTTCATACCACCACCATGAACTCCCATTTAGTCACACATAAATATACTTTGAAGATATGCTATATCTCTGTTGCTAGTAACTCTAGCGTTTTGTAAATGAAGGCACGCCAAACGAAGCCCTATTCAGGAAGACCTACTCATGCAAATATAAGCAAGATTTGGATCGTCGATAGACTTCCAAGGAAGATTACATATGTACATACTTACTATGTGGAATAGAAGTGTGTGTTACTGAGATTGATGTAATCTATACCGAAGCAATTTGTTGGTCTTTTGCAGTAATGCCGCCTAGGCAGGATTGATTTGTACATTGCCATGGAATTTTGTCATGCCAACAGCAATAAAAACAACCACATACGAAACATTGCACGAGTAATCTAATGAGATAATGTTTGTTATTTGTCAGACTTAAGCATTAGTAAGTGCCAATGCAATTACAATGACAAATATCGAGTGGATGGGTGCTTGACAAGTGCACAGAAGCACAAGCACCGGGTGTGGCAGTATGTGTGAGTACGCACACATGCATATATACACCAAATACATGCAAAGAGCAATCAATAATTGCAAATTTCTTCAATGAATTAAACTAGCATCTATTAAATTTAGAGCATTCTCGAACTTCGATTGGAAATATTTTAATGCTTGATTCTCTACATCATTACAATCTGCAACGCGACGCGGCAGACGACTAATCGTGTGTCGACCATCGCTTATTAATGTCTGCCACATTATTATGCTTTGCCATTGATTTCTTTCCACTTTAATGAGTTCATATACATATGTGTGGGTTGTTGTTAGCCCAACAGTTCAATCATTCACTCCTCCATTACAGCCCCGCCAGGCATGCGCTACGGCACTTGCTTGTGTTGATGCCCTCCCATACACACGGCTTCTTCGCAACTAAGCACGCCATAGTATTTTGCCATACTTAATGACTGATTAATTTGCTCATTTTATTCCGCTTTTCTGCGCCGTTTGCCAACATGTTGTTTTTGTCACTTGCTGCTAATAGGACATTTGCCTTTGGGTGACATTAATTGGCTTCCCAAGTATTTATGTGTAAGATCCACTCGACATAATCCTATTTTCAATTGAAAGACTAATAGGCAAACAGAGTGCGCTGACAGAGCAGCGCATGGCTGGCGGCTAAAGGCATCCGCACACACGCACACACGCACCCACACGAACCTCTCCAACTCAGGGTGCACATGTGCTTCGGCACACTTTTCGCCGCCAACAGCAACAACTAATGTATACATACAAATACATAGAATGTATGCATGTGGCCACGTGTGTGCAAGCTGTATTCTGCAAAATTCAATACTGTTGAATATTTAATTAAAACAGTTAAGCAGTTTGACACTGTTTGTTATTCCAACATCTGACTTATTTATTTTAATTGCGATATTACACATAAGTATGTGCATAATTAATGTGCGTTAATTTAACGCCTTAATTATTAGATCTCTCGCATACTATTTTAATAGGAATTCACCTCTTTGAAACCCTTGGCATATTATTCCAAAATTGGCTAACACCAACGACTGGTTCGTCTTTGAAGAGCTCTATTTGATCTACAGGTATTTGAATTTGTCTGCGCGCAACACTAATCCTACAAACTCACTTATGAATTGTACAGTCGATGCAAAGTTTTTGCTTTCCTGGGTTAATACGTGACCTCTTCAAAATCACGCAAATTTATTATCGCTTTATTTATTGATTTCATACTGTATTATTAGTCTTATAATATTGACGGACCTAGATATAAGCTTTCTTAACTCCAAAAAGAAGATCTCATTTTATTATTATTTGCTTAGTTGGGCATTCGTTGAAGTACTATTAAAAACCAGTGAGGTTTCTTATGTTCGAAACTGTAATTTTTTTTAATAGTGTGAGTAGAAAGAAAAATTGGAAGCCAAAGGGGAATATTCTGATCTAGATGCCTGAATTTTAAAGGTTCTTTTAACAATTGATCAAAAATTAGAATTTGATATTTTTCAGTACATTATTATTGTATTTTTGATATTCGTCTTTTAAGTAGATAAAAAAGAGTCCAGGTCCGCATTGGAATGATTTCTGGTCTTCTGATCATCTGAAAACTAATACATGATGAATTTTTGATAAGTACGAATGTGGCTTACGCCAGAAGATAAAAAACTTAAATAAATATATCATCAGCCTAATTTTTTCTCTGAAGTATTACAAATTAGTTGACCCGGCTAACTCTGTTTTGGGCATGATTTGGATTTTATAAGGTCCCCGTTTTAGGAAATGCAAATAAAATATTTAAGTAATTTAATGATTTTTTATTGTTCATATATTCAAGTGCAGAGGTCGAACTCTTCAGTTAACTACATGCCTTGCGATACACGAGATTTTATTTTTAATTTTCAGGCGCAAGAAGAAACAACGTAGGTGGTTTTCCGACCTTAAAACATGGCACATACTATATAATTAACCATGGGAAAAACATGGATATTCCACAATCTTTAAAAGATTGTGATTTGATAACGGTCATTACGTATGACCGGAATCGGAAATTGAATCAAACGGCATATCGATTGGGATCATCGGAATACGCCGTATGAAAACCTCCTCACCTTCGACTGTTATTTTGAGTATTGTCCCGCAAATCACATTGATCATCAATTTACTTACCACCAAACGGAATATAGTTCGTTTTGTTTGGTTTATTTTTCGAAACATTATTACTATGAAACTAACCCTTTGTGATAAATTATGCTTTGATTAGCCAGACTTTTCCATGTAGCTTAAATATTGAACTGATTAGTTAGGGGCTTGATCTTGATGGCATGCATTGATCCGTTGACCTCATTCTGAAAACGTAGTTTAAGTCTTCTACACATTTTTTCTTAACCGCTAAAATTGCTCGCTCACTCAAGAATTCATAACTTTCGTGGTTAATAATGATTGCTGTAAACACCTTGTTGATAAGTTCGTCTTTCGGTGAGACAAAGTCACAGAAATTATTGGAGAATGAAATCAATCCGCTCGATTCAACAACAGGTACTCAACCATTACCGATAGCCAACAACTTCTCAGAGAAATCTTTAGCAGATTTATCACTAAGCAATACAGTCATTCATTTCGCGCTTGGCGCTGGCATTTCTAACCTGACTAATTAACGTGACACATGTCTGCGATCAAGAGTAAAACCTTATTATGTATATCTTTACTCAACTCCAGATCGTCAATTCTAGAGCTGATACGAATTTGATGTAAAATATCTCTGAAGTCGAGCCATGCTAACGCGGCGCTTTTAACGGGCAATTTCTTGTTTAATTACCATCTTTTCATTTACAATATTTCGCAGCCTTCTTGCATGACATCATTGTCAGCTAAGTTTGGATCGTCTTAGTCGCGGTATTGTAATGATGAACTCGCCAAGTCACAGGGGAATATAAAAAAGAATTGATTGCACACTTGCAACTATGGCTTGCTTGAAGTAATAAAATATTCAAATTATTCTCACAAACATGAATTTTGAACAAATTCTTCATGACTTGAAATATAATTTTTGTATTTATGAATTTTACTGACTTTTAACATAAAAAGATAAAAAGTATCTTATGTACGTTCCTTGGTTATACTATAAGTCACCTCTCCACTAATTTTGAGTCAAATCGGGTCAGACGTTCTTGAGTTATAAATAGTGTAATTAACGCGACTTTCTTTAAGTTATATACCGTCACCTCAAATGCAAGACAACGTATCATCAAATAAAATTGAAAATCGTTATGCGATACAATAACCAATATATAACCATTTTATGACTTAAATATAACCGACATATAACAATTTTATACCGAAAATATAACCGACTTATAACCATTTTATAACCAAAATTCAAATTTCGTTTCAATAGTAGTAGTTTCTATTATATCGTTTTTCCTTCGCCTGTAAACTTATGAAAATGATTTTACGTTATTTTGCACTTTAGTTGACGATATACATATGTACATACAGATTTCAATTTTCATGTTTTGGTGCTTTATGTTCAAGTCATATTTCATGTAAATCGGCTGATTAGAACTTGAGATATTATGGCAACTCGAACTAAAAATAGTTTCGAGAAAAACGCTTTTAAAGTTTCTTCCATTACTCAAAACGGTCCGGTTGCCACGACACTAAAATGTCTGGAACCTCGGAAATAATATTTTTTGAATATGCAAACTAACGAATTATGAGAAAAATTTTGATTTTTAAAAATTTCTGGACTAGTGTACCCTTAATAATTCCAAACCCAAAAGAAAATAAATTAAAAAGACTTACCGCAGACTTCGCTTTTTCGCCTTAACTGAGCACCTTAAAAGAGAGACTGTGCTCGAAATCCTCGTATTTTCATCTTTTCGTAAGCTCACAGCAGGTTAGCATTTTACACATGTGACTCGCAGGCTTTAAAGTCTTCCATTTACTATTGATTACAACAACAGCGCCTGCAAGCGGGTGGGAAAGTGTAATAGGGTGTTACTAGCAATTAGGCTCATTGTCCTTTGCCTGCTTTTGTGTGCATTTAGCATGAAATGTTTAATTACGGAATTCTGCATTAACCAGCAACGACGATAATTGCCTTGATCATCCAGCAATTACCACAATTGCAATTTGATGATCACCGCTGCGTACGCATTACACACACATACACATGCCCATTTTATTAATACGTCTATAATTGAGCTCCACGGCATCACACGGCAAAATTAATTTAATGTATACTTTACAGCACACACGCACGCCAGTACTCAGACACTGTGTATGTGTGGAATTAGTGTGTATGTAAAGAGTTTTGTTAGTGTTTTTGTTGTTATTTTTGAAGCGCATATGTATTTAAAATTGGTGCGCATTAATTTGCAGTTAAATTAGGCTTTGGTTACTAAACTGCAACTAGCCACTATTAAATGGGCCAAATTCAATTAGTGCATGACGTAAGACGCCCGAGCCCAAATTTAATTATGATTGATCTACTTATACGGCTGCAGGTGTGCGTGCGGCTTTCATTACTACTGACACTTAATATAAAATACCGAATGCTCTTGGCATACACAACAAAAACCAAGTCTATTATTCTCTAAATTCTGCACAAATATGAACAAATTTAAAGTTTACACTCTTTAACACTGTTTTCCATTTATTAATTGTTTTCTATTTATTAATTGCAGCGATGGTTTATCACACTCAGCGCTGAAGGAGTCCGATACGAAGAGGTTGGAGATCCTGCGCAACATTACCGATTTGCTCGGTCGCACATTCTCATCGCAGTTTGTGTTTCCAGTGCTTGGCCATGAGGATGGCACCACAAACTTTCGCCACTTGGGCGAACTCTGGCGACATTGGCTGCCATCGGAAGCACTACACACGTTCGAAAAGGGTACGAGAGACACTTTATTACTAAAAATTCGAAAATTTTTTATTTTTTCGCATTTGATTTCGAAATTTTTCATAATTATTTGCACCAGCAATGAGTCCTAGTTGGTCATCTATACTGTAGAAATTACAAATCCTGATAATATTCTATGTTTAAAGCATCAGCCACCCATTGAATTCGGTCCGTGATCGAAGCTCTCGAAGCTGAATCAGTTGATTTCAAGTGTGCTGTCACACTTGTATGTGTGCATGTACATACACAAGAATATGCAAGTACATAAGTAAATGTATATATTCTGCAGCTTGGTAGCGCCAGCTACTGTCTTGTTGTAATCAGAGCGCATTTCGCTTCAGTAAATATTGATTTTCATGCTGTTACCTTTTACGCCATCTGAATGAGTAATGAGAAGGCTGTGGGAAGCGGGGCACGAGAAACGAAACATCATCACACGAAATTCTGTTATTGTTATTCTCGACAAGCCTAAATACCTTGAAAATCTATGCCAGTCAGTGCAATCACATCGATTTACTTCGTGCATGAATGAATGCGACAGCAGACGGTCGACATGGCGTATACGTGATCGTTGCTATTGCCGACAGCAGATATTTTTAGCATGACAAAGAACAACGAGGCAGCAGCACAACCGAAGTGCTCACAAAGCTTGCTTTGAAGATTATTTTTTCTTTGTTTATTTTTTCATCATAGTAACCGACAGTGCTGCTTACATTTGTACGCATGTAGTAACCAGTGCAAGGTGGAAATTTGTACGCATTTTCGGTTTATGTGTGGCACTAAGTCTGTTTCTCGCCTCTTTATTTTTCGTAGGTGGCTACTACTCCATTGAGCAGACGAAAAGTCGCCTGCGTATAATTGCGCTGAATACGAATTTCATGCGGCACGATCACAAGGCCCCGCCCAGCCATTTGGCGGCGGTGCGGCAGCGCACTCCAATGTCTGGCAGCAGCGGCGGTGATTCCGAATACAAGACCTACTACTATCATCACGGCTCAATACACCAACACCATGGACATTCGTCGAGCGATTGGATGAGTCATGGCGGGGGCTATGGCGGCTACAGCGGCGGCCACCATCGTGGCATGAACGCCATACCGGCTTTGAGTGTGGGCGATGGTGAGGGACGAGTCAGTGCGCTCTCCGAGTATGAGACCCAGGATGCGGAGAAACAATGGCTCTGGTTGGAGGAGGAGCTTATAAAGTCGAGAAATAACAAAGAAACGGTGAGTCAGATATTTAGTTGAGACTGTACTGTAACCTTTTTAAGCAGTTCACTTAATATAGCCTTTATATTACTCAATCGGTCAGGCAGTTTTTAATGCAAGTAGCGAATTTTGTACTTTCGGATGACTCATCGGAATACTTATCCCGATAAAATCTAAAATGTCTAAATTTTTCCATTAATGATTATATTAGTTCGGGGACATCAACCAGCGAGGCCTTCCCTATTAAAGGACAGAACAATCCACGTGCATACCCTTAAACCAGAATCCTTAATGCGTTTGCGATGGTCGTCCTTAAAAGGCAGGTCTCTCGTCCGAGGTTATTGTTTTCTTTTCATCAGATTCGTTTTTTACGTAACAGGTACAAAACCCAGCACACTACTCTGTGGTGGGATGTTTTACCTACGGATGTTCTTTGGCTACCCAGAGGATATTTGGTCTAAGACCAGAAGCCATATGCTGATTGAGTCATATCTAAAAAATCGTTTGTGGCCACTCGCAAGTGAAAGGCCCTCAGAGAACTTTCCTCACTTGTGTGAATTTCTACACATGACTTCATTATTCACTTTTGACAGTCATAACTTCGAAGTCGTAGATAATTTCGTTTATATTCAGTATTAAAAACAACAACAATGTAGAGTAGAGAAAGTTTCTGGGAAAGTTTTGGGAAACGATTAATGATGAGCTGTTTGAGATATACGATATATTGATTTGTTTCAGTGAATTAAAAGACCACGGCTACGCAGACTAGGTCTTTTCGTCCGAATGGAGGAAACCCGTCGAGGGAAGCAGAGGAAGACCTGCACTCCGTTGAAAAGACCAGGTGGAGAAGGAAATGACTACATTTGGAATCTCCAATTGACGCCAAACAGCGAAAAGAAAGAACAACTGGAACGCTATGTAAACTCGGCTAAAACCTCGTCAGAGGTTAGTTCAAAACATGTGGAAAGAATGAAGGCTGATCGTACAGAACTTTAAATATAACGGAAATGAAGCGGTAATATGCTCGTGGGATTTGTTAATTTTTTCACAAATAATAGTTTATTATGAATTTCCAATTATGGTTATTGATTAATCGGGATTATATCCCGCCAACGCTAACGTTCCACGTTTAATGTGATTAAAAGCAACCAATCCCAAATTAATTTAAATCGATTTCAAATGTGAGCACTTTCGAACAACTCGCCCGAAGCTAAGCCTGCAAAGCGTATCACACTCGCTATACTCGTCGGCTTCCGATCTCGCCGAATGCTGACACTCCTCATAGCGTCCCCAAACAATTGCATCCACTGTTGACAATCATCTGCATAACGGCATTATTACGAACCAAATAACCAATTTTTTTATGCAGCTAGGTCCAGCGGGAGCGCGCGGAGGGCCAATAAAAAAACAAATTATGCAAATAAAAACACATTGAATGCATTCAATCAAATATGCCATAATTCGCGCGAACTTGTGCGTTGCGGTTCGCAAATAATTTCCCTTTTCAAATGTAATTGCTGCATTTAAAATGCGAATATTAATTACTATTTAATTAACCTTTGTAAATTTGTTTCGTAATTGAGTAAATAGTTTTTGCAGATTTTTATTGCATTAATAACGTTAGTTTATTACGGTACTTTAAGCACTCATACATTTTTGTGTAAATATATTTCGATGCGAGTCGTTATGCACACTTTCATTTACGTGTTTGTTTATTTTCATTAATATTATTGTTTTTTTTTCATTAGCATATAAATACAGTCATGGCACAAGGACAATTTTGCGCTGCTATTAAAAGCCCAGCTGGTGCTGAGCAGCGTTGAAAGAGCCGCTGAGCCATTAAGTACAACATATAGCGCGTGAGTTTTTGATATTTTCAACGCAAAGCCCAAAAAAGCAACAACAAAATTTGTATACGGAAATATTTTTCACAAGAACCACTGCGACCACATAAAAGCGCCAAAATATTAGGTCTAAAATCTTTTCTCGTACTTCTAAACAACTTATTTTTTATATTTATAATAATAAATAAATAATGAAATAACTACCATTTTTTTAATTTAATTTTTGTGGTTAAATGATGCTTAAAATCTAACCTTTCCAACAACCTTTGGTAGCACTGGAGATATACGACTGCAACGTCATCTATAAAACAATACGAAAAGACTTTTTCGACCATCACAACGAGGCTGTCTCACTTGAAACATAATACGAACTTACACACAATATATGACAAAAATCAACGAAGAATGCCGGTTTTTCGCAGACTGACATATGAACATGTAAACTTGAATCTAAATTTCTACGCAGCCGTCAGCAATTCGGGCAATTTTGGCCTTTTCGTGGTCAACCGTAGCACACAACTCGAAAAAGAATGCTAAGAATTGGCACCCAACATAAGTGAAGAACGCTGAGATGCAGAAGCGGTAAACACAAACGTTATATGTGTGCTTTGTAGTCTTCTTCTGGCTCACAGTGGGTAAACTTTCAGTTCGCCTCATTTCTGCATGCGCTTCCACACAAAAAAAAAACCCGAAAGAGAAAGCAAAGATCATTACACAAATTTTCAATACGGAAAGTGTTGTTTGTTGCTAGTTACTCGTTTCTGATACTTCTGGGCGTCACCACCACCGTTCCGTTTCCGTAATTTCTTTTGAAACTCGAGTTGTGCCTGGCAAACACTTGTGTAATTGTTGTTTTGCTTGCGGTTTGTTTAACCATTTTCGCTGGCTTGATTTCACTTGCTAAGAAAAGTTTCAATTCGGAACTAACAAGCGAAAGTTTAATGAACGATTTCAAGTTTAAAACAAGTTTTCATTACCGCACCCCCACCGCTACCACTCGCGCTGCCACAGTCCGAAGCAAGCAAGCCGTTTGCTGAATCTGCAATTGCCACTGCCGCTGTTGCAGCTCCGCTTTGTCTTGCAGCATTCGCTCATTGTCTGAAAAGGCGCTGCTTTTTATCTTTATCGCTGTTGTATTATTTCGCCGATTGTTGATGACGCGCTTGTTGCTGTTCGGCTGTTGCTATTATTATTTCAGATATCTTTTTTGTTTCTTGCCTTTTATCGTTTTAATAAATTTCCGCGCTATTTCTTTCGGTGCATTCCTGATTTTTCGCCTCTAACTTTTCTTTGCCAACTTTCTCCTTCCATTTATTTCGTTTTATTAATTTTGCCCTCGATTTTTGTAGCAGAAGTTTTGCGGTGTCTGTGGGCCCATTTATCTTTCACCGCAGCCTCGCCGGTATTAAATGCATTGTGTTGAACATAAAAGCTTCTTTTGATTTAAAACAAATCGAAATTAAAAAAACAAATTAAGCAGAATTGATAAAGCAGCAATAAATTTGTTTATGCGCATACATTTAACAATGTGGCAACACCATTTGAAAGTAAAATTAGTTGTAAAGTTTAAAAGTGAAGTTGAATCTTTTGAATTACTAATTTTTACCAGGTATAACCGCTGTTCTAATGGTTCTAATTTGACAATTAAGAAAATAAGACGCAGTATGAATAAATAAGGTCCAATCAGTTTGTTGTCACACAATACGCTCGATAGAATCTTGTATGCGATGTTGATCAGAGAGAAGATGAATAGAACTTTGAATAGCTCGGCGCATAATTCATCGGCTCCTGCCCTTTGTTGTCCTTTATGCTCTGGGCATCAATTGCTAATCGAACTACTTCATAGTCGGGCAATGGAACGTCTGCTCTATCAGCATCGATTGCGAAACGGGTTTACCATCTCCTGGTGTTATGCTTTCACTGCCATTCGGGCGGCAGAAGCAGTGTTCCCTCCATAATTTTAGTATGCTCTGGGAATCAATTACTATATCACCTCTGGGTGTTCTACAAGAGTATGTTCCAATCTTGAAACATTTTGTTAGTCGCCGCATTTTTTTTCGTAGAAGTTTCGAGCATGACCCCTGCCGGTAAGATTGTCATACTCATGCATTTCAGCCTCTCTCTCGTTTTGTCTGCAAAAGCATCTCACTTCTCTCTTCAGCTCTCGGTATACTATATATTCCATCGCCTCGGCTTCAAAGGTATTTTTTTTGGCTACCCATAGTATACTTGGCCTAAGACCGGGATTCGTGAGCTGCTGGCGCCATATGTATAATAATTCTTACGTGAACTTCCACACACGACTCCACCCTCTACTATATCGCTAAGAATAAAAAACAATTCATTGATGTAAGCCTGATGGAAGACCAAGACCAAATTTGGTGTGTGAAGCTGTCAATATAAATCCAACAGTGCAAAAGCTGCGGAGCGGGATTCAAGATCGATTTGCATGTCACAGCAATTGAAAGATACTACGGTAGAAACAATGGTATTATTTCATAAAAAACCCTAATGTTTCTAGTCGAGTTATTATTTAGTAATCTCTCCAGCATTCCAGATAATCAAACTTAAGATGTATATAGACCTGTATCAGTTCAGAGTCAGGGCTTTTACTGTGCGAAAGGAAAAATTTCTTGAAATACAAGCTTTTAAATAAATTTGTAATTTATTTTTCATACAAATGTATTTAATTTTTACCAACCAAGGCCCTTGTTTCACAAGAGCAGCAAAACAGAGAGACTAAATTGTTTGTGAAAATATTTGCACATTATTTTATCACCGAGCAAGAGCTGTGACAACCAGCCAGAGAGCTCAGTTTGGCGCTGAGGTTAAGGAGACAGCCAGTACAGGCAGTCAACGGTGCTGCTAGGTGTCAACGCCGTCCGTAGATTGTGGAGCAATATTTGTTTGCTGCCGCATACCTTGCCACATCCTTGCCTGCAACCTGATCAGAGTATCAAGTCTCCTATTACCCAGAAGATTTCGGTTGTACTACCTTCGCAGCCACACTTCCTAAGAATGCTGCCAAATACTAGAAAGTTATACTGCCCCCTTGGTTGAGCTTTAAGTAACGCACGTGCATTTGTGTTGGCACAGGTGTGTGTAGTTGTGTGGTTATAGCAGTTCAGCTGCACTGGATGTGCCCCTGCACCTTTTGTGAGATAACAAACATGG